CCCCGCCCCCATGAAGCCAACACAGACACCTTAAAAAAGAAACTATGACACTAATTTGATGAAATGTGTACCATTTTTGGGATGCTGAATAAATCACTACCACGGATCCGATGTATCAATGGAGATGTGTGGGAGTATATGACGACAACAAACCTTATTTACGCTACATTTATTACATTGTAAAGAGTTCATTACCTTTCATCCATATATTACGTACATATTAAATTTATTTGAACTCTCAGTAAAACATCAGCTCCAGATTCACAACAAAATGAACAGACATTAAAAAAAAAATCTCTTCAGCTGTTAGTGGTGTGAGAAATTTTCCATGTCTGGGTCATACGGTATTTTCCAAACTCAATAAATAACAAACATCACAAACAGAACTGCTGGGCCGCTCAACATGAAGTAGACCCTGTCCTGTATTCGTGACATAATTGATATTCAAGTCATGAATTTTAGTGTCATCACATGAGGCGTAATTACACAATATAAGAAGCAAAACAACATATTTTCAAACCCGGTAAATGTCATGCATCAATTGCTCGGCAACAGGGAATATATATCAAATTCGATTGAATCTTCCTCGAATTTTCTGCCAAATGTAATTTTTCTTTTCTCATTGATTCAGCATTCGGTTGAATTTCGAAAAATGGCAGCCGATTTCAGTTTGACATGGAAAAGAGGGCAGAACCAAATTCATTCGAATACATTTCCGTCATTTAGGAGGAGGTCAGCATCGGTTGCAGGCCCTGGCTTTTAAGCACGTGTGTTACATTGTAAACAGTGATGAGCTCTACGAACCACAAGAGAAGCACGACAAACACATAGGAATGTTGATCTGCTGAGCCTCTGAAGGACTGCACATGCACACAAACCCTTCAGGAGGTGCTTGAAATGTGGCCACCCATTTTCACACAGACCGGTACAATGTTAAGTCTTAATATCTGGTCCCTTAGGGTGGCAATTTTTTTTTCCATTGGATGTACAGTATGTTATTTGGGCATATTCCACAGTCCATACACTGTTATGTCATGCATGTACTGTAATACGTGATTGATTCATGCTTCATCAAAAACTCTATTGCATGGCTTTGCTGTCCACATATGAAATAAAACCAATCATTTTGATCATGTGTCGTCAATTTCAATCACACTAAACATTTTGTGTGTGTCCCTGAAATTGCTGTCCACCCTGTCGTAATGGGGAAAACGCTCTTTTCGAGAGAGTGGTTCTCAACTTATTTCAGTGAAGTAAGGCCTTGTGAAATATATTTTTTTCTTAGCCAAGTACCGCCTTAATTAGCGCAAAACATTTTTGAACAGATAAAAAAATACTCAACACACTTAGCAGTCTTGTTTTAAACTCAAAATCCACACGCACACACACACACACACACACACACACACACACACCAAGCATTAATTAAATATAATAGCCATAAAAGCCATTTAAATATGTTTTAAGGGGCGGGGGGAGGTAAGAGAGGGAAAACATTTTTGAAAAGACAAGCAAAAAACTCGAAAATTGCAATGACGTTGTGTTGGACACGGGACAGAAAGAAAGGCAGCAACCCAAAACGAAAATAAAGCACAAAAAC